TGTCTGCTCATAATTTTCATATTTAGAACCCTATTGGACAATTCTAAGGCCAAATAATAAATCAGATAAGTAAAAACTCCCTTAATACATAGAAAATAGAAAACCCATATAAATAGAAAAGCCCAAAATTTGTCATGATCCAGGTGAAGAGTTTCAAATTAATGAATGAAGGAAACACCTCATTATTTTATCTTTAACAGATTTCAAAGTATCTATCTTAAAAAGAAACTTTAGTGCACTGTAGCAAGTTCTAAAAAGAAGGCATTATTTAAAAATCCTGTTCATGTATTAGGACACCGACGTGGCTCTTCTTTGCCACCTCTAAAGGAGAGACCTTTAGCTGTCCGCTTCCACACAGCAAGCGTCAGCATCATGGCGGCAGGGAGCAATTCATTTTCATGTTTTCCTCATGAGCAGATCCTGCAGTGAGGCTGCAGCTGAGTGCAAAGTGCAGATTAGAAAGTGCAGCCTCTGGTCCCTCGATGCATTAACACATTCTCCATTAAGTTGCACTACCAGGGGTGACCCTGCAGCTGGGTGGGTGGGGGCGGGGTTCCCGCTCCAGTCCTTGTCTCCCAGGGCCGTTTCCAGGTGGGTGCCGGCCCGGCATAACTTCATCTTTAGTTTCTTCCCACATACGTCTCTCTGACATGTGCTGCCCGTGTTTCCTTAATCCTCGTCAACTCAGCCCCAAATTAGGAAACTGCCTGTTAAAATTCTCAAGTGAACAGCTTTTGCTGAATTTCTTCCCTGTGAAGTGCATAGACTGATAGTTAAAAGACTAACCGTGAAGCAAAATTTCCATGGTGATCGTTAATTTTGGAGACTGTGTGACCTACCTAGCTCCTTTCCTTTTTAGTAAGAGGGAAAGTTATAACCCCCAAGAAGCACAGATTTCTGAAGAACCTGAGGACAGAGGCTTCCTGGATGTGGCTGTCCATCACAATACAGAAAACCCTTATAGTAAAGGCCATGAATTGCTTCTTAAAATTGGATTAATAAAAGACTTTAGAATAATACATATATATATATATGGCTAGGTTTATTAATATTTTTATTAGTGGTAGGCTATTACATTAAAAACTGATATTAATTGGTTTTATAGTACTTACTATCTAAGCTATAGCTATCCTATATGTAATATCGATATGCTAAAAAAGTAGTAAATTACTATTTAAAACATCTTGAAGGAACTTGTGAAGTTTCATGTTAAAAAAAAACAAAAAAAAACAAAAAAAAGGATTAGAATAAGAGAGAGAAGGAAAGAACAAGAGAGAATCCAAGACCTGTGCTGGTGTTCGGAGAGAGGAGAGTGACTATAATATTGGAAGCTTTCCCACCGTGTAAAAGGGATGACTAGATTTTTAAAAATAGTGTCTCCTGTTACCCTACTATCTTGAGATGGGAATTACATCAAGACAAAGTGTGCACCCTGCTTATGGAAGAGGGAGGGCGAAGGAGAGCAGAGGAGAACTCTAGAATCACCCAGGTTGAACCCTTATTCTTGATCTGTGACACTTTCACTGTGTGAGCAAGAGTGACACAGTAAACATCCCTGTAACTCAATACCTCTGTAATGTTCTGCTTGCGTCTGTGCAATAGAAGCAATAATACCGCTCCTTGGCAGGCTTCGTAGGAGATGAAATTAGTTAATGCGAGTTAATGAGTGAGCCTGGAGCATTTAGAACAATGTACATAGTAATCATTAGGTGTACATTTTAATTTTTATATCCAATTTTTATATCCATTCTGAGTGCGTTCACTCACATAAATGGCTGTACATTTTAATTTTTATAAACACCAAGAGGATATTTAGGATAATAAGTGTTCCTAAGAGTGGCACAGGGTATCTGAGGACATGGAAAGTTAACCAGTCTCTGAGGAATTCACACGCTGTCTTCACAATCCAAGAGATACCACATTTAGATGGATAAAGTATTTATATTACCAATTTTTTCTTCCTACTATTTCAGATCTCATTTCCCTTGCTCTACCTCATAACTTTCTCTTCTACTGAGGCTACTTTACTGTTGTAACACCTTTTAACACCCTGATTGCTTTGGTCTTGCAGGAAAATTTAAGTCTCAGGGAATCCTCAGAACACCGGACAAGGTAAAGATGTCCTGACCAGGGAGTGGGAAGCAGGTGGAGAAAAGGAAGGACATAGTTGTCATAGATCCTCAGAAATAGGGTCCCATGTTCCCCCAAGTCCTGGGCCTAGATAGCAACAGTCCTGGACAGATGTGAGGGTTTCAGAGTAGGAATGTGTTTAGGTCTGATGTAGACTCGAAGCTTTTCCCTCGTGCACCACAGCAGCTATGGTGAAAGAGCAGAATGGCCTAGAACAACAATGAAGGCATTTTGGACCACTGATGAAGGGCCTGAAAGACTAACTTTCTCAGAACACCTCTTTTATGGAAAGAGGACACCAAGGACTAGATGCCTTCTTCCCACACCATGTATTAGGTAAGTCCACCAGGATGCAGACACAACCCCAGGA